AGAAAGAAAGAAAGAAAGAAAGAAAGAAAGAAAGAAAGAAAGAAAGATAGATAGATAAGGGAAGGAAGGAAGGAAGGAAGGAAGGAAGGAAGGAAGGAAGGAAGGAAGGAAGGAAGGAAGGAAGGAAAGGGGAGGAGGAAGAAGGAAATTCAAAGACACAGAGTAAACACAAAGCTTGAATACAAAATGAATCCTGGATTTTAAGTCCAGAGTTGCTGAATTGTTTCCAGCAAAACAATTTAATAAATACAAAACTCTTCATAAATTCATAAATGTCAAATGTTTGATACCTAATTCAATATACTAGTATCTTTAAGCCTTATTTTACTAGCCAAAATACAATTAATAATATTATGAATATTAGATCGAAATGGGACAAGGCAGCACAGATTTAAACAGTATGTATCAAAGAATTTTGAATTATACATTGCTCAAAAAAATAAAGGGAACACAAAAATAAGACATCCTAGATCTGAATGAATGAAACATTCTTATTAAATATGTTGTTCATTACATAGCTGAATGTGCTGACAACACAATCACACAAAAATTATCAATGGAAATCAAATTTAGCAACCCATGGAGGTCTGGATTTGGAGTTACACTCAAAATTAAAGTGGAAAAAAACACTACAGGCTGATCCAACTCTGATGTAATGTCCTTAAAACAAGTCAAAATGAGGCTCAGTAGTGTGTGTGGCCTCCACATGCCTGTATGACCTCCTTACAACACCTGGGCATGCTCCTGATGAAGTGGTGGATGGTCTCCTGAGGGATCTCCTCCCATACCTGGACTAAAGCATTCCCCAACTCCTGGACAGTCTGTGGTGCAACGTGGATTGAGGTCTAGCATTGTCTTGCATTAGGAGGAACCCAGAGCCAACCGCATCAGCATATGGTCTCACAAGGGGTCTGAGGATCTCATCTCGGTATCTAATGGCAGTCAGGCTACCTCTGGCAAGCACATGGACGGCTGTGCAGCCCCCTAAAGAAATGCCATCCCACACCATTATTTACCACTGCCAAACTGGTCATGCTGGAGGATGTTGCAGGCAGCAGAATGTTCTCCACGGCGTCTCCAGACCCTGTCACGTCTGTCACATGTGCTCAGTGTGAACCTGCTTTCATCTGTGAAGAGCACAGGGCACCAGTGGCAAATTTGCCAATCTTGGTGTTTTCTGGCAAATGCCAAATGTCCTGCACGGTGTTGGGCTGTAAGCACAACCCCCACCTGTGGACGTCGGGCCCTCATACCACCCTTATGGAGTCTGTTTCTGACCATTTGAGCAGCCACAAGCACATTTGTGGCAAGCTGGAGGTCATTTTGCAGGGCTCTGGCAGTGCTTCTCCTGTCCCTCCTTGCACAAAGGCAGAGGTAGCGGTCCTGATGCTGGGTTGTTGCCCTCCTACGGCCTCCTCCACATCTCCTGATGTACTGGCCTGTCTCCTGGTAGCGCCTCCATGCTCTGGACACTACGCTGACAGACACAGCAAACCTTCTTGCCACAGCTCGCATTGATGTGCCATCCTGGATGAGCTGCACTACCTGAGCCACTTGTGTGGGTTGTAGACTCCGTCTCATGCTACCACTAGAGTGAAAGCACCACCAGCATTCAAAAGTGACCAAACCATCAGCCAGAAAGCATAGGAACTGAGAAGTGGTCTGTGGTCACCACCTGCAGAACCACTCCTTTATTGGGGATGTCTTGCTAACTGCCTATGCTTTCCATCTGTTGTCTGTTCCATTTGCACAACAGCATGTGAAATTGATTGTCAATCAGTGTTGCTACCTAAGTGGACAAGTTTGATTTCAAAGAAGTGTGATTGACTTGGAGTTACATTGTGTTGTTTAAGTGTTCCCTTTATTTTTTTGAGTAGTGTATTTCTAAAAAGCTGACACCTGGAAAACATTCACTGTAAACTTGGAAGATAATCTTGGATAAATTAAATTGCACTTTTATTTATTTTTTAAAGCATGAGACTATTGATTTATTAATTAGGACATGTCAACTCCTAATATTAATTATTAATATTGGTCTTATTAATGCTCTCCAAGTGACTATAGAAATAAATAAACTAGGTTTGGAATCTTCCAAAACACTTCTTTATACAACTATATTTATGTGTTTCAGAAGCTGTTAGCACATGCTCTGTATTATGAAGTAAAATATTTTTAGTTGGGCATATTGCTATTCTGTTCTTTCAAGTAATCCAAGTTCTATTTGTAACAGATCAAAGACTGATAAAACATAAACAGTTGTAGAGTATTAATATCTTTTTCTGCCCAAAAACACCAATAGAAAGCTTTACCTGCACTTTATAAATTAACTTGCTAGTCCAAACTGGTTTTCTCCAAAAGCAACTGGGTACCATTTCCAGCAGCTCCAGCATGAACAACTGGGATTATGGGCAGTGTATCAAACACCACTATACTGCAACTTGTGTGGCCTGAATATAGGTCTTCTTGTTGAGAAACCTCTTGGGCACTTTAAGTGTTGTCATATGTCTCTCTGGTTATGCCCATGTGATGTGTTGGGTCACTAGAAATTCTAAGCCAGAGGTGTCCAACTCAAGGCCCGGGGGTCAGATATGGCCCATGGGGTGCTTAGATCTGGCCCGTGAGGCCACCCTGGAAACAGACTGGCCTGTGGTGCCTCTGCCAGTAAAAATGGAGCTCGGGAGGACCACCCATGGCCCTCCTAAGCTCCATTTTCACTGGCAGAAAGTTGCAGTAGACCATGGCAGCCGAGAATGGAGCTTGCGAGGACCACATGCAGTTCTCCCGAGATTCACTTTTGCTGGCCAAGGGTTGCAGGAAGCTGTCACAGCCGAAAACAGATCTCGGGAGCCTGTTTTCTCTGGCAGAGCACTCAGGTCACCACAGGCGACCCTGACAGAAGTGACGTCAAGCTGGCTATGCCCATCCTAGCTATGCACCCCTGTTCCCCCCCCCCTTGAGGTCAAACACTACCCTGATGCGGCCCTCAATGAAATCAAGTTTGACTGCTCTAATCCATATGCTGCTCCTAATGTAAAGATTGTAGACAGACCTTCATTTATCCAATTTTGAAAAAAAAAATTGGGTGGGGAGTGGGATTTCTACTTACTGTTACTAACTGTTCTACTTACTGTTACTTGGGCAAGGACTCAAAATAGCCTCCCATTTGCCATTTTGTGCTACCATCCGTACAATATAGGTAGTCCTCAATTTGCAATAAGAATTGAGACCAGAATTTTTGTTACTAAGCAGGGTGGTTACTAAGTGTATTATGCCAGGTTTTAATGATATTTTTAAAGCAAATTATTGCAGTTGTTAAGGGAATCATGCAGTCATTAAGTGAATTCAGCTTCTTCCTTTGACTTTGTCATAGATGTAGACCAGGGGTGTCAAACTCATGTCATCACGGCAGCATCACATGATGTATCAGGATTTCCCCTCCTCTAAAACCAGGCATGGGCGTGGCCAGCGCATGACGCATCCAGCCCATGTTTAGTTTAGCTTACTTTATTTTCACTGCACCTTGTACAACGAAATTAAATAGCATCTTCAGTGTACATTATGACTATGAAAATAAACACAAACACACATCCTTCACATTCTATAAGTCAAACATCTGGCCCATTCTGTAAACGGGGCAGATGTTTGACAGCCCTGATGTAGGCTGTCTGGGAAGCTTGCAAGTGTCAGACACACGACCCTGGGACATAGTAATTGTCATACATATTAAGCAAGCACAAGAATTTTTATTATGTGATCATGGGGATGCTGCAACAATCCTAAGTGGAAGGACTGATTTTAAATCACATTTTTAGTATCACTGCAATTTCAAGAGGTTTCTAAACAAATGGTTAAGTCATGGACATTGCACCATTTGGATACATTCACCTTTTTTTCCCCACGACGAGGTACATGGGAGAACTATCAAACGCCCCCTCGTCTCGACTAAGTCCCGATGATTCTCCAGCTTGGCTAACAATTGGGGGGTCGATGCTCTTCCTCCTAGTTTAAGGCTCATCGGGCTCGCTATGATGAGAACGCTATCCCCAGATCCACTGCTTCCTTCCGTAAAGCGGAAAGCAGCTTCCCTCTCCCTCCTCCAGTCCCCGGACTACCTGTTTCAAGGCGGCATGTGCTCGGGGTATTATGGGAGCTTGTGGTCTAAGCACTGATGGCAGCTGAACAGCCAAAGTCGCAGGTCTGTTTGGTCCTGCTGCTATGGCAACCTCGTCCGCCTTTCGGTGCTTCTTCCCATGGATGCATTTGGTTGCTTGGTAGCTAAATTGCACCCAAAAATGCAATGTACTGAAAAAGGAGAAGAAAAAAAAGAAGACTGCTAGCAAGGACTCAAAAAGTCTCCTGCTTCATCCATGACTCAGCAGGTTCCATGGTGTAATGGTTAGCACTCTGGACTTTGAATCCAGCGATCCGAGTTCAAATCTCGGTGGGACCTCGAATGGCATTTTTTGTTAAGGAGTTCCTAATAAACCTGTCCATCACAAGAATGCCACCAGCAGAGAAAAGGATGTGGTTTTGTGCTCGCGCCCAACAGAAGTGCCTATTGCGCATGCCTACGTCTTTCGCCTGGCAGAGTACGTGGACGGGCGGGGGGCTGTGTAAAGCGGGGAGCTGCCAAAAAAAAAAAGAAGAAGAAGAAGTCTTTCCTGATTCTCATTGGTCAGCGCCGACAGAATGAATCCAGCTGCGTTCAACTATTGGCTAAAGCGGGAAACGCAATTTGCGTTTCAACAGTGAAGGGGAGAAAAAGCATTCTGCTTTTGTCGTTCCTGCTTCCCATCTTTTGTACACCAGCATCTCTCAGTCTAATTCTCCACCTCTCATTATCTTACCTTCGTTGATGCATTAAAAAATTACAACTTAATCTCAATCTCTTTTACCTGACGTAAATGAGCTGGTGAATTAAGATGCAAGTTTTTGATGATGATGATAATTATTATTTACTTCTGCAACAATGTCGCCATTGGGGCAGAATTGGGAAATTTCGAAGACTGGTAGGCAGTTATGCAAGTACCCGCGTGATGTCCTTAAAATTACCATTTTACTTAAGTGCCGACATGCTATCGGATTTGGTCTCCATTCCCCTCAATCTGGTCATCCCCCTTTGATAGTATCCGGATCTTTTAAACATCAGATTTGGTTTACCAAAGAAACAAGCAACACCGGTATATAAACATTATACAGTGCTGGGTACTTAAGTGGAAGATGGGGAGGGGGGAGAATTCAGGGTAAATAAACATTTGAATTATGTTTTTATTTAAATTAGTTATGTTTTTATTTAAATCAGAGTTTAAAATTATTGTTTCATTAAAAAGAAGAACCTACCTCAAAGAGTCATGTGAAGAGAACACCTTATCAATTCTTACTGTTCTAGTTGCCAGAGGCTGTTTACTTATCTCTTAATACTAATACAGAGATGAAGATGAGTAGTAAGTGGATAGAGTATCTGTCTAAAAGTATAAAGAATGACATTCAGTGAATAGAGAATTTGAGATCTCTCAATAAAGAGCCTGCAATAAAAACCAAAATAAAAACAGGAAAACATTTATGCCATATGATGATTTGAAAAAATAGATTTCTGGTCTTAAAGCACATAAAAAATTAATCATCAGTTATTGAAAAAAAAAATCTGTACAGCACTTTATATGGGCAAGACAGACAAGGATAACAGAATGGAAGAACTGAACAAAAAAAGAAGCTCCAATTATGAAATCCTGAATGGAGCATTTCAGAATATGAAGGATTTAGTAAACATTACTCTTTTTCTAAAGGATTGCCTTTCCTGGTCATCACTTTTGGATGATTTTCTCAGGTAGTTACTTCAACTCTTTTTCAAGAAACAGAAAGTTGACCTGTGGTACTTGAATGCAGTTAATAAAAAGCACAGACAGGTATATGTATTGTTCCAGTTTGATGAGTATGTGCAGTCCCATACCATTATAGACACTTGAACTGCATTAACATCAGTGTTTTTCAAACTTGGCAACTTAAGATGTTGGGACTGTAGTTCCAAGCTGGGGAATGCTTGGAATTCAAGATGCCAAGTTTGAAAAAATACTAGTTTGGTTGGATTTGGTCCTCCAGATACAAGATTTGGGTGGTTCTCTACTTGGTTTCACCATTTCAGTTACCTGAGAGGTAACAATGGGTTTTATTTTTAGGTTAGTTGTGGATGACAGAAAGAGCTGTATCTCTCAAAATATAACACAGCCCCAGGCACATACAGACATCAATCAGCAGTCATAGCTTAAAACCAACAGATTATAGAAGAAGAAATTAATGAAAAGAGTGCACAGTTTATTTATGCAACATATTCCTTTCTATATTGTCGAATAAGTACTTTTTAATGACATGGCTTAGTTAACTTTATCAGGAAACCCTTGACTCATCAAAACAGATATTGTTGGGAAATATATGAGAATGTGTAATTGGTATAGAGGGAAAATTGATTCTCTAAGGCTTGATAGATGCAATATCCACAATGAACCAGATACCCATACTTCCGTATTAACGGATGAAAGGGGTACTTTTCTTACTGAAGCAATCAGGAAAATGCACATGCTGCTTAACCTTTATAAGAGATATCAATGAAAGAAAGCTGTATAGGTTATCCACATCTTAATTACCACAACTAAACCCAAAATTTCTGTTGCTCAGCAACATAATTGTTAAGTGAAATTTGCCCTGTCTTTTAACTTTTCTTGCCACAATTCTTAATCACTGCAGTTGTTCAGTTAGGAACATGGTTGTTAAGAGAATTTGGCTTAAACATTGGCTTCACTTGACAGATTACAAAAGATGATCACATGACCTCAGACACTGCAACCATCATCAGTTGCCAAATGTCTGGATTTTGATCATGGAGATGCTGCAATGGTTGTGTGAAAAATGATCATCTTATCAGTGCTGTTTTAACTTCAAAGTCACTAAATGAATGGTTGTAAGTCCAAGACCACCTGTAATGAGCTCTCAAAATAATTTCAGTTGTCTTGTATGTAGTTTTGCATGGATGTTGTACATTTAGCTAAGATTATCAGGTAAAAAAAATCCCTGAAACAAATAGCATGCATGTACATTTCATGCACTTCCTTTATGATTTTTTTCTCAAAATATTGCTTTGTATAAGGGTATCTTTCAGAAATAAAGTCCTACATTTTGGTCAAAAGCTTTATATAATAAGAATAATGAACTTGTAATTGAGCATCAACCTTCCACTTAGGCATTTTTGAACCACCATCAAAAATAAATAAATATGTAATTTAATGTAAAAGTAGTACTGTATGTAAAAAGCATTTTGTTTCTGGAAGCTGTACCTTAAGAAGTTTTAAGAATGGGCGCAAATCACTGCTTTATGAAGGGGAGTACTATTTAAATAGTACATTTAAGTAGTTGGAAATAACTGATATAATTTAAAATTATCTGAAGACTTGGCATGGCATTTCCATTCTGCAAGTGGGTGGCTAATATGAAAGACTGAGTTTGCATTTATCGAAAATATACCAATTTTCTGGATTCAACCACTTTGTTGTCCATAGCCTAATCTGCTTTTCAATTTTGAAAGTTTGTTTAAAAACACATCAGAATTTATTCATTTTCTGACAATCCAAGTTTATCTAATTACAATCACTACAAAATTCCCCTTGTGATCTCTGTTTCTATTTTGTCAACAAAGGTAACAGTAGTTTGTGTTCAACATGAAACTAGAGAGGCTCAGAAACTTAGACCTCTGTAGAAGACTCCTGTCTTTGGTTGGATCTTTAATGCAAACTGTGAACCAATTTGTGTTTTAACTATATTTTTCCTTGCTCTTTCCATGTTTTAGTTTTTATTTATATGTAACTCAGCTTCAATGTGGATTTAGATGGGTTCTAAATAAATAAATAAATATTGTTTGAAGAAGTAGTTTTATTTCTGGATAAAGAATCTCCAAACATTGGGCATAAAATAACAAGATATTTTAAAATCTTTTTAACAAGATATTCTATAAAAGTGTTCATTCAATTTCGCCAGAGTACTTTAGCCTGGAGGACATACCTATGTAAACTGATAACTTGGTTGTTAAGTAAAGCAGTCATTAAGTGAAAAACTGACTGTGCTTATTATTTTAAAATGTGATTTTAGGATAATGTACTAACTGGCTGTAATGGCAAATATAGGACAGCAAAAGAGAGCTGCTGCAAAGATTGTAAATGTGAGCATTGATTGCAAAGTTATTTTTTCACCAATATTATAACTGAATGACTGTTGTCTAAGGCAATCATGAAGTGAGAATTGCCTGTAATCAAATCTGCTGTTTTTCAGAATTAGAGGGCTGCCTTCCCCTTCAAGAAACAAATGGCTACTATTCTTGGTTGGTTGAAGATTTTTGAGAATTTTGTTTTTAGTAATTCTGAGACATAGTTAAAAGCAGATGCCATAAACTTGTTGCTGTATCTTGAAAATTGTCAAGTCTGTGCAGAGCCCAGCACTTGGTTATCCAATCCTAACATTAGAGCAGCAGACACTTCATTTTGTATGTGGTTCAGGTAGTCCTCAACTTACAATCATTTGTTTAGTGACTGTTCGAAGTTATGAAGCTAAAGTGGACCAAAACTGAAGTGGGGGTTCAATTAAAATTGTAAATTGAGTACTTGTACTTTATATGCAGAACTAGAGCAGTTTTGAATGAATTTTTTAAAAGGAATGTATATAATAATAATTAATTAAAATGTATTAAATGTATATGCTGCCTGACTCCTAAACACTCTGGGTAGAATATATTTGGCAGGGGGATACATGCAAAAGCTAAGAGAGGTTTCAGAGATCTGTGTAGTGGTTGGTCCATGCTGCAGAACAACTGATGGGTACACTAAGTGCAGACCAGTGTTTTTATAAACTTGGCACCTTTAAGATGTATGGATCCAAAATTGCTGGGAAATTCTGGGAGTTGAAGTCCACATATTTTAAAATTGCCAAATTTGGGGGGAAAACACTGAAGCTCAGCTTTGCTCTCATGGCAAGTTGCAGAAACGTTATCAATTGGCTCTCCCAAGCTGGTGTAGGCTGGCTTTATTATACTATTAAATTTAGCTCTGGCCTCAAGAAGGAAACAGAAGTGGTGAAATGGTTGCTCAGCCCTGGGAAAGTAGAAGGAGCAAACAAGAAACTCAGAACGGCCCCACTTTCCACTGACAATAAAGTAGCCTTCCTGTGCAGTCTTATTTCTTGACCTGACCTATATTGAAGGGCTTACAAGGTACATGGACTAAATCTTTCGCAGCCTCAGAGCTGATCTAAAATATGTGGCTGTCACAAGAGAAAGATGGCAGCCAATATCACACACCACCACCACTTTTTCTCATTTGGTGCCTGGCATCCTCTTGCCAGTATCTGCTTCCTGAGGTAATTGTCATATCTTGCCTAACAGCAAGTCTGGAACTTGGAGCTGCTGTCATAATACATCATAGGGAGGTGCTTATGACCTGTTTGTCTGAGTATTATAAATAAATCAGTAAGATGAGACAAATTGAGTATAAGAAGAAATGTGTGTTGCTTGGCACTGACTTTTCTACACCCTTGAAATGCTTCTGGGGCATTCACATCTAATACAGGCTGTGTTTAGGATTGAACGTTATAGATTAATGCTCAGGTGGTCAAATCAAACTTTAAAATATGGAATGAAGTAGGTTTATTTAGCCATTCTGCCTTTGAAGTGAAATAAATAAATTTTGAAAGTGGCAACATGATTTTCTTGTCCCTTGCACTTTTCATGCCTCATATGCATGCCTTCTACAAAGCCTGTATGAGTTTCCACCAAATGAATAATAATAAAACAAGCTATTTCAGTGCTGCATGGAAAAATGTGCATTTTTGATTTAAAACTATTAGAGGGTCATCTGTATACTTCATCATATGGCTTGCAAAAACTAGATTTGGAACTAAACATTTATTATGCCATATATAGTGACATACCTTAATATCTGCTTTTCATAACCTAATATCTGTGCTCTTTCTCTTTCTCTCTCATCTATCCATCCACCCATCTCTGCCTCTCTCTGTCTCTCTCTCCCCTACCTACATCCATCTATCTATCTATCTATCTATCTATCTATCTATCTATCTATCTATC